CATCAAGCGAAGGAATTGGTGTATCGTCACCATCATATGAAAAGTGCCTAAGTCCAAAAAAGTAAATTTTACAGGAGACAATAAAAACTGTTTGAAACGAAAATATTATTATTTAACGATGATTTTCTTTAAAATGTTGCATTACAAGTTTTAATTAAACCTATTATATATAAAAAAGAAAACAATTTTTGAGGTTTTATGAAGTAAATGGACTTGCGCATATTTCCCTCGTTAAATCAACTCGTCGGATGGACTTGGGTAATTTTAATTTTTTGATTGTTCAGTATTAGATTTATTTATATAGGTAATTGTACGACGAGAAATTATAAAAGACGATGGAAACAAGGAAAATAAGTCAAAATATTATTTGTTATAAACATGTAATTACTTTAAATAATCGTTGTAATAACAAATAAAAGCTATTTTTTGTGCAAATGTATTTAAAGTATGGGTATACATAATTGTTTTGGACAAACAAACAGAAATAAACATAATCTATTTACTCATGTTCGAGGGAATCATAAAACGTATGGTAATCTAGTTCCATGGTGCTTTTTAAAGATTGAAGCTGCTCAAATTTTTCACGTTTTATTTTTAACGTGTTACAATATAGCCCTGGAAGATTTGCTATTGTTGTGCATTTTAAGTTTTTATTAAGTCTAACTGGCAATATTTCGAGTGTCGCAATTTAAATTCGATCGATCCATCGGGTTTATATTTTAGGGCGCTTATGTCTTGAACAGTGGGATCGCCTACTTTACGCCCAGGACGAATTGAATTAAAAAAATTAGGCTTAGAAAAATCTTTAAAATAACCATGTGACAAGTATTCAAACTCATACGGTCTTGGTGTTTTTCTAGCAGCTTTGGCGTAATGGACATACTCAGCTGGTACATTTATAATTCTGTCAGAAATTTTCCTTTCAATAGAGGATTGCATTGAATCGCACTCCATGTGGGTATGGCCTTTTTCTAAGTACTTCTGGATAATGCAGACATTATACTGAAGTGCAAAATTTAAAAGAGCATTCGCCAAAATGGAGTTGCGATTTTGTGCCGCGCAGCCGTCACTGTAAAGTATTATAGTAGGTTTATGTCTGAATCAATGGTTGGTAATACTTATTTACTTAAAAAATTACAAATAATTGAAGCGAAAAAGTTAGATTTTAGCTCACCTTCCCCCTCATGCCATACAAAGCAATACCTGTCCTTTGAGTGCAAGTCAAAGACAGTAAAGTTATGAACAATTAACTTGGTTTTGTGATACAATGCCGAAACATTTGACTTGGGGCAGAGGATTACCGATTGTAAGTCCATTGTGAAAACTTTATTAGATGATCTTTTATCATTTTCTTTTTCATGTCGAGCTTCTTCCTTCATCGAAACATGCTCTTTTTAGACTTCCTCGGTAAGGTTCTTTGTTTTGTTGGCTGCGCAGACATCACACTCGTCCTTCTTTGGTGAAAAAAGTGATAAGTTTATTTCGTCAAAAATATATTTAAACGTGGTCTTACTGGTTGGATCAATGTTTCTTTCCTTGCACCAGGAATCTTTGTAAAGAGCGTAAAGCGCAGATTTGTTTCTCCATCGGGGTTCCAAATATAATTTAGTGGTTGATTTGCGGCAATAGTGTGACTCTAATTTAGGCAGAGATTCTGTTACTGATGCTTTCCTTTCCATTCTTTTTGTACGTTTAAATTCTGTAGGTTCTTTAGGATATACAGGTTCTTCAATGTGTTTTTTTCTGGGTACAAGAGCCCTTTGCGAATCCAGAGGCTAATAGTTCTTGAGGACATTCCTAATGTGTTGCAGAACATAATTTTACACACCCTAACTCTATATTCATTTTTCTCATCAATAAAAAAGCTGCAAGATGCAGTTCTTCGACTTATTTCATCATTTCTCCTGTTCCTCGCTCTTTTAGTTCTAGTTGTCGTCGTTCTCCCTAAAACATAGACCTGCTTTTCTTTCCAAGAGAAACTCCAGAATTTTTTAAAAATGTTTTGTCTTTCCTCTTCATTAATTTTATAACACTGAAAAGTTTTTTTTTCAATTGAACATGAACATCGATTTTTTATTTCCTTTCCACTTTTTTTCACCACAAATTTGTTGTCTTTCCTTCCGAAATAGATTTTCCCTTTTTATTTTATTCGTATTATATTCCCAGTCTTTTTGGTCGCTCAGTCTGTTTTTTTTTCTTTTTCGTTTTTTATTTGTTGGATTATAACTCTCTTCCTCCTTTGAATCTAATTCTGAAATATTTTGGCCGTCTTCTGAGCTACATCTGTTTTCCACCCAATTCTTATCTGAACCATCTTCAGTAATTTTTGTTTTATTTTTGTCATTTTGTATCAAATCATTGTTTGAAGTAACATTCTGATCGACAATATTTCCATCTCTTTCTTGTGCTTCAATAATTGTTGCATTATTTGGGCAATCTAGGTGTATTAGAGCACTTAAATCACCGGTGTTATCTATTATTTCTGTAACGAAATCTGCATTACCTAGGTCAGGGTCGACATTTTTTTTAAGGACTTCCTGAGCTTTAAAACACTCCTGTTGTAGACTGTTTATTACAAGAGTTAATCCGTCATTAACTGATGGACTAGAATTATTTTGAGACAGATCTAATGTTCTCGGATTACTGCCTTCTATAAGAACTTTGCTCAATATTTGAAGCTTCTTGAACTTTTATTCATTCTGAAAAGAAAAAGATCCTAGAAGCTACACCACTTTAGTTGAAATAATATATAATAATTTACTTTATACATAAAATAATAATAGAAGAATTCACACAGATCTTAATGAATGTTCAATTCAAATTAAAAATGATAAAAATCAGAAAACTTATGGAACCACTAGGTAAATACACAAACTAGTATACATATTATTATATGTTTCTGGACTTACCCAATGTATTTTGCTGCACTTTTTAATAATTATTTAGTGGAGAACTACAGGGAAACCAGACACTGAAAAATGATGGCTAATAATAAGCATTGACAGCGCGGACTTACGCAACATTCATACTGTTGTAGAGACAGCTGGAATTGCGCAGGTTTCATTTGCGAGTATTGTGGCACATCTAGCAACGTAAGCTCAAACTGTGAACGCCAAATCGTAGATTTCAATTTCCATAATTAGATGACACTATAATCTCGATTTCTGAAAAAAGTGGACTTAGGCACTTTTCATATGATGGTGACGGTATGTGACAGAGGTGTCCAACAGAGAGGTGCTAATCCAAAGGATTGAAGCTGCCTTTCGTCAGATGAAGGAAGAGATCCTGCTACACACAACAACCGTCTAAAGGCAGTCATTTTTTTATATTCCAACTACCACGAAGGCCTAGGGCCTAAGCACTCATTGCGTACCGTGGGGCTATAGGGGGATACATGGGAAAGGGGGGGACGCCACACGGACTCTGGCGAGGGAACACGTGTGCATGTAACATGCACACATTCTGGCTCCGCCTACGAGAACCACCGGGTGGTACCTCCGCGTTCAGAGACCATCTACCACCTACGGACAATCACAACATCCATAGCCAAGAGAAAAATTTCTCCTGGGACGGGACTCGAACCCGCACAGCGCACGGCGACTGATCAGGAGACCGAAGAGTCTACTACTGCGGCCACCGCTGCTGCCGCCATTTTGAAAATACCTTATGATATGTTAACATCAAATTAAAACGTGAAACATTGAAAAACAAATTTTTTTTCCTGAACCTTATCAGTTGTTTTCTCGTCTATCAACCGCAAAATATCTTACTTCTATGATGTGTAGCATATCATTAGAAAGGCAAAGAAACTTTTTGAAGTAAAACTAAGTGTCACCAGAGCTATAGTTTTTTTGTAATCGATTTTTGAATTTACAGTTGTTTATTCACTCCGCGCTATTTTACGACTTTGGAAGGTCATAAGTCATTTTATGGAGAAGCTTTGTACAAACCGTTAATCTCATCCGATTCGGTAAGCTATGCAGCATCGACTCGAATTTATTTTGTGTTATTATCTCGACAAACAAAAAAGTTATCACGATAGTTCTGCGCCATTGTAGGTAATTCAGCAAAAAAACGAAAAAAATCATATCTCGGAAACCGTAGCCCTTAGGGCATTACGGTTTCCACCAAAAATCATCAAATAGCGTACCCAATTACCCATATTCTTTGTCGGTTCATGTAAGAAACACCCTGTATATGTGGATAGTAAATTAATGTTTCAAGAGCATTATAAATACATTTTTTTAAAAATATCAAAAAAGATAAAATACTTCTTTAGTTTCCCATAATTTCGGTATTCCAAAAAAGTGTATGTATAACACTATAATTCTTCCTCATTTTTATATTGTTGAACTATCTTTTTAAGCAAATGGAAACGTATTTTCGAAATAACGAATTCTACAAAATAAAGCTATGAGAATTATTTTGAATAGTAATATGATAAGATTAAGTGTATGTTAGGAGAACTACAGCGGTTGAGTGTAAAAAGAATATATATAATTTAGTTCTCATTTTCACATTTAAATAAAAAAATCATTTATTACCACCACATTTCGAAAGCTTCACAAAATTAAATAGTCATTATCAACTACGAAACTAGAGGCAGTATAGATTTTCATCTGCAAAATTGCAATAGTAGCACAACTAGCAAATCTGTTTTTCAAAAGGGAGTATTTGAATGTAATAAATTGAATAATGATATTAAACAGTAGAAAATTGTGTAAGGTGAAATTAAAAAAATCACTTTATGACTACTCAAAATGCATAGTGATTAAAAAAATGTGTACACGAGTAATTATACAAAGTTGACATTGTAGCATTAATACTAAATAAATCTTCAACAAACAAACAAACACCGAAAATGTTGAAACAAGGAGGTAATAATTGTAGATATTTTTTTGGAGGAATCTGCAACTATAGTTATTTGCCAGGCAAATTCACAAAGCCACGTTTTATACTTTTAAAGAGATGTCCACAAGATGTGAAGGTTTGTAACTTACGGAGCAGGTTGTTGTTGTAATTGGATTGCTTTACATTCTCCAAGAGGCTCTTTAGGGTCTGAAAAGATTGGAGAATAATAAGTATGTAAGAGATATGACTATAGACAAAGTTACCTTCACCAGGTTTGCAAATGCAAGAATCAGATAAAGTAGTTCCTGGAGGCGTTGGTCCACTAGTGTCCACAGCACTTTTTGCCACTGAAATTATGAACAATAAAATTAAAAATATATAAATATCAAAAATGTTCATATTTTATAGTACAGAATCTGATCATTTTGTACACAGAGTTTTGAGACCAATAACTTACGTCACTTATACAAGACTACAAAATGCGCTTGACCAAGCCAACTAGTATACAAAAAATAGATGAACTTAATAATGGTTCTAAAAGAATACTTAAACATTTTTTGAAACGAGTTACTATTGCTAGTGATTCACTGTTTATTGTATGGAAAATTTCCTTTAAAACTAAAATGTTGCACAATTACTCCTATTCCAAATGTTTAAAATTCTGAGGTATATACACATATGTACTGCCAGATGTCCAGGAGCTCTCAGAAGGAATCATATTTGAACAAATCATTGAATATATTGAAGAGAACCACACATTGAAAAATTTCAAGCAGTATTTAAAAAAATATTCTACTGAAACAGCAATTCAAATGGTAGTAGAAGAATGGAGGCAAAATCTGGATGAAAAAAGGTTTCCACTAACATTGTTCTTGAATTTCAAGAGGGCGTTTGAGACTATTGCCAGAGAGAAATTGTTAACGAAATTGCATTAGATTATGGATCTAAAGGTTCAACATACTACAAAATTATTTAATCAATAGAAGTCAAAGAACTAAAATTGGCAATACACTAACAAGCATTAAAAACATTTCATTACATTACATTGCTATTTATTTTATATACCTGTACTAACGATATTCCTGATGTTTTACAACAGTGCAAAATTTAAATATTAGCTGATGATGCACTATTATAAATATGTACAAATGCATCAAATAAAGACGTCTAAACTGCAATAGAGCTGTAAATAATGATATGAAAAACATAATTAATTGGTTGAATGCGAATAAACTCAAATGAATCACAAATAAAGCAAAATGTATGCTTAGAGGAAAATCTTTGGATGGGAATACGATAAATCTTACCATTAATCATAAAGAAATTGAGTTAATCGAATCATTTAAATATTCAAGCATACATGTATATAGCAAATTAAAATTAAAGGGCACTATGAATATAATATTCCAAAAATATCCAAAAAGAAACATTACTTCTATAAAATTTCGCATAGCCTGTGTGCTTATTCTAAAAAAAATGCGTACAACACTATCATTCTTTCCCATTTTCGATATGTTCGAGTATTTTGTTCGCTGCAAATGAAACTGTATTTTCGAAATTACAAATATTACAAAATAAAGCTATGAGAATCATTTTGAATAAAAATACATATACTAGAATAAATTTTCTGCTGACTGAACTACAATGGTTGAATATCAAAAATCTCATGAGCTACTTGGTTTTTATTTATGTGTACATATTCAAGTTGAAAAAAACATCTACCAAAGTTTATTGAATTGAACTATGAGTACCATAGTTATTCTACTAGAGGAATTTGATTTATAAAACTGTAGTAACAATATAACAACCAAGAAATATTTGAAAAAGGATTGTACGAATTTAATAAATTAAGTACGGGGACCTCCGGTAATCCGAAAAACATTATGCAGGGCAGTGTCGGACTATCGAATTTGTCGGATTATAGAGCACTGCCTAAGACCCCCTATAGTCCGGAATTTTTTACAAAAGAGTACCTTGTAATCCGACAAATTACATATCCAATGGTAAGATTATATATGTCATGTATATGTATGTACTTAGAAGTACAAATCATACATAGTTTATGTATGTCAAATTTAGTAAATTAAATAACAATAGAGAGGTTACGTTTTATTATAAAATTAAGCATAAATGCACAGACCAAAATAATCAAGAATTATTAATCAAAATCATCAATGAATTTATCAAATTATGAAGCTTGGAAATATTCATCCATTTTTTTTGCTTAAGGTTGTTATAACGCGAGATCAGAGATTTGTCCCTCAGTCTTCTCAAAACCAAAAGTTCGTTGTAGGATGTACCATTCTCTTCAGCCCATTGTAAACCTAGCTCAAAGGCGTTAATTGCGTCTTGTGCTGTGACTTGTGGAGCAGTTGCAATCACGTCGTGGTTATTTTCCTGATTGTTTGTTGTATAGTTAGAAACCTCTTTTATACTCTCTTCGTCAGACATTTCATGAAAAACATTTTCCTCTTTATCCATTCCACGGCACCAGATTTCCAAATCTTCCGGACTTATCTGTGTTTCAGTAGCGACTTGTTCTATAACTTCCGAAGTTACACTGATTTGTGGAACGTTGCTAAGAGTGGTGACTATATCTGGCCATAACTTTTTCCAAGACGATTTAATAGTTGATGACGGTAACGCATTCCACGACTGACAAAGAGCAAAAACCAAGTCCTTCATATTAAATTCTTACAAAGTTTTTTCTATTGGTTGGTCTTTTGATACGGCTCTCAGTCTTGCTTATAGTCTTGCTTGACAAACTGAATGACATTCTGGTTCATTGGTTGAATCAGTGCAGTGCCATTTAGCGGAAGAAACATCGCAGTGATGCATTTATCCTCAGTTGTTAGTTCTTCTTCAGACGGATGACCGAGAGCGTTATCAAGAAGCAACAACGCTTTTTGAGGAAAATTATGATCTTTTAACCATTTTCTAACTTCAGGTAGGAAGCATTCATCAAACCACTTTTTGAAAAGGTCTTTTGTCATCCATGCACTTTTTTGTCCGTAATAGTGTACAGGTAAATCAATGTTTTTGAATGCCCGTGGTTTATGTATTAGATTTCCCAATGACCATCATCTTAAGCGCGTGTGCGCCCGCAGGTATAGTAGTAGTAGTAGTAGTAGTAGAAAGATTTATTTAGCACATTTGGCTACATAAACAGAACAATTGTAAACAACTTAGAACTAGTAAATTCAAGCCATATGGTGTATGATGTAAATGCTGGGCAACCTATAATTGTAGATTTAACAAATGACTTCTCAATTTTACTTTAAATTTTGTCAAAGTTTTCTGGTCTTTTATCTCCGAGTATAATTTATTATATTCAATCAACCCTTGATGGAATACAGATTTGTAGCATATGTTATACTTTTTGGTCATTAAATGGAAGTCATCTTTATTTCTGGTATTATGTAAATGATGGTCGACATTTGATGATGTTAAATTAGTTAGACTTGATGAAAATATATTATTTTTTACTTTATAAATGAATATCATTACAAGATATTTGATAAAATTTTTTACATTGAGCCATTTTAATTTGCTAAGCATTTGCCTAATTGGAGTATATTTATCTTTATTTAGTATTATTCTCATGCACTTATTTTGTAAAATTTGCAGTCTTTCAAAAATGGAATTATTTGCTAAATATAGAATAGTCGAACAGTACAAGAAATTTGGAAGAATGATGGTATTATAGATAATTTTTCTGCTATATGAACTCAGACATCCAGAAACTCTCGATAAATATCCCACTTTACTACTAATCTTATTTATAACTTTTTCATAATGAATATCAAAAATTAATCGAGAGTCAACAAAAACCCCCAGGTATTTAAAATTTTCTACGAATTCAATATCTTCACCATCAATATTCAGTTGAACATTTGTACATTGTTTTTTTCCGATTAACAAGGCTTTCGTTTTACTTGCATTTAATTTTAGTCTGTTAGATGCTAACCATTTTGAGACAAGCTTCAAGTCTTCATTTATATAAGAGATACCAGACTGAATATTTTTAGTACTTATATAAATCATAGTGTCATCGGCAAAAATTTGAATTTTGCATTTTTTGACTATGACAGGTAAATCATTTATGTATAAAATAAAAAGAAGTGGTCCCAGGATACTGCCCTGTGGAACACCCAACGTATTTTCAATTTTTGATGAAATAGTGTCATTAACTTTTGTAACTTGCATCCTTTTAGGCAAATAATTTCTAAACCAATCTAAAACACTTCCTGTTATACCATATGCCTTCAATTTACCTAACAAAATATTTCTATCAATCGTTTTAAATGCCCTCTTCAAATCCAAAAATACTGCTATGACAACTTCTTCTGAGTCTATGGCTCTTCTCCAATTCTCAGTTACCAACTGGAAAGCTGTTTCTGTGGAATATTTTTTTCGAAAGCCTGCTTGCGCCTCCACTAAAATTTTGTTTTCTTCTATAAACTGCATTAGTTGGTCATGCACTATGGACTCTAATAATTTTGCAATGTCTGGTAACACATTTACTGGTCTCATATCGCTGCATCTTTTAGAATTTTTTATTTTGGGAACTGGTGTTATTGTAGAGCATTTCAAATTTTCAGGGAAAGAACTGCTTCTCAGTGAACAATTGATCCAATTTAATACAGGATATCCCAAAATTTCGAAACAGTTTTTCAGCACGTTTTTGGTAGTCATTTCGGCACAGTTGTTATTTGATTTTAAACTGTTTACTTTTTTTCTTAGATAATTCAATGATACGCTGTGAAATTTTGAATGTGTATGCAACATTTCCCCCTGGAAACTGATTTTCATATAGTCAGGTGCAGCATTGGCAGTACCTACAATATCAACAATACTTTCCACAAAATATTCATTTAGTTTGTTTGCAATCACCAAAGAATTTGTTTCGGTACCGTTTTCGAATTGAACTTGATTATGGATTTGTCGTTACAAGAAACGAAAGTTTTGTTAGGCATCACACGCCAAAAATGCCCTGATTCATCTGCATTGTACACCTGTGACTGGTCAAGATTTAAATCGTTCATCTTTTGCAAAAATCTTAATTTATAGGGCTCTACGCAGGTGGCATCGTTAGAAAGTTTATCTCCTGTAATAGTCATTAAACCTATGCCATGACGACTTTTAAAAGGTTCTAGCCATCCTTTGCTGGCCACAAAATCATCTTTTTTTGTTATTTCCTTATAAAAAAACTTAGCTTTCATGGCCAACATGGGTCCTGAAATTGGTGTATGCCTACTTCTTTCCTGAAGAAACCACGTGTAAAAAGCTTCTTCCACTTCTGTATGTTCAGCTTTCTTGAGTGACTGTCTCTTGCCTGGCCCGCAGTCAGTAGTTGACACGAACTTCTTGATCGTCTCGTGGTTTATTTTAATGTCATAAATTGTAGATCGGCCTACGCCGTATTCACTTGCTAAACTACTGAAAGTTTCATTGCGATTTAAGCGGTCTAAAATATCACATTTTCCTTTAATTGTCAATGTTTTGTGCTTTCGCTTCTGAGTTTGTGATGACATTACTAGGTACTATACTTAATACACAATGAATAAATAGTAAACAATGAACGCACGCTAGGCCGTACCGGTATCACAAGTAGTCAAATTCAAACTAAGTAAAACAATGCTTACGCGACGAGCACGATAGCGGTGGCGCGTACAAGTTGTAACCTGTTCAAACCTGCGTGATCTACATTAGCGAAGATTGTCAAATACGTATGTATGTAATATTCAAAGACATGTCGGATTACAGGGAGCGCCGGATTAGACAGGGGCCGGATTATCGGGGGTCCAAGATATGTGCCAGTTTGGAAATGCTCAAAAGGAAATTGAAAAAATATTTCATGAAAAAACCAGAATTCACACTCGTTGTAGTTAAATTTTGTATAAAACTATGCACACTTGAATACAAAATATTATGTGATATATTGTGTAACATTGATATTGTAGCATTAATGCTGAATAAATCTACAATAAACAAACAAAGAAGAACCTAAAATTGAAGTGGGTGTTGAGTAGAAAACCTAAATGAAGCTAAGACATCTTTGATATTGCTATGGTATCCATACTTTTGGGGAAGACTCCCTTATCAGCCTTTAACCAGGTATTGACAGGATCTTTGGAGATAGCGTAGTAGCAATGAACGCCGAATCCAGGAATATCTTGAGCGGCGACATATTCCCGCAAGTCTGGAGAAAGGTCAGTAGAATATGGAGGATAATCTCCTGTTTGTCCTCTGAGCTGTCTTCTGATCCTCTGTATACGTTCTTTCTTTTCTTTTAGCAGGATTTGCCTTGCCATTTCGTTCAACTATAATAAATATGGAAAAGATCTTAGGGATAATTACATAAAGTTTGAGATATGATGTTTTCTTGGAATGTCATGTCATGTCCAAAAGAACAATTTACCCCAAAAAAGAAGAATTCAAGCACGTTATGCGGTGTGTCCACAAAGTTGGAACTTTCCCTTACACGACGTACACTAAATAGTGTCCCATAATTAACGCAAGATTTGAATTTGCCGCCACGTTTGCAGTAAATTGTGAGCAGCCCTGAAAAAAGAACAATTTGACACCTAAGAGGTTAGGGTTAGTAAAAAAGGAGCGTTATACATATACAATACCGTGTTTTCATTATTGAACAATATTTCAAGAATAATGAAACTTTAACGTCCGCAGTTCGAGAATATTATACAAAATATGGCCGGAATAGTGTTTTAACCTCGTTAATTATTAAAAGATTAATTGAAAAATTCAGGGAGAGTGGATAAGTTGGAGACGCTCAACAGTTCGGTCGTCCAAAAACAAGCCCTTCAAATATCCACGTCAAAGCAGTGCGTGAGAGTGTTGGTGAAAACCCAGGAACGTTAATTCGGCGTCGCGGACAAGAATTGCACATTATAACGGGGCTCCTACAATCACGAGCACCATCTGCTGAGGTAACGGGGGGGTGAAAAGGAAACGATTGTGGGCTGGTCTTAGACGGTGGTCGGCGCTACTTTAAAAGAGGAAAGGATGACTGCGGATGCCTACCGAGATAAATTTTTATAATAAAAGAGTCGGATTTCTATTAGCGATCTAGCCTATAAATCGTTTCCTATCTTGGTACTCAGCTAGTGATCATTTAGTATTATTGTACCCTTGATACTGTTCGTCGATATTGTGTTGTTGAATTGTTGTGTTGTACTCTTGTTGGTGTGATTGTTCTTGAGTGAATTTTTTATCAAGGTTGATAATGGACAATAAAAGGTCATATCCGACAATTTTAATTACGAATTCAGTGAGTTTAATTCATGATGAGGACAACAATAGTGTGGATCATTTCAACTCTATAATCGCAAAATACATTGTGGTGAGCGAATAAATTATTGCAAGAAGAGGTCATACCATGGAAGATGTGCTGCAGCTGTAGTGAGCCAGAATACCGAGCGGCCTGTCTATGTGGTCCAAATACATTTGCGTTCGCTTATCACTAAGATGGAACAAAGACTCAAACGCAAGAATCTTGGAAAGAAACTCAGACCAAAAAAAGTTGATATAAGAATAACTAACAATTCGGATAGCAATTCCAAAGAAAATATATGATAGTTTTATGGTGAATTCTGTCAAAAACTGACATGAACTACATTGATTTGGAGGTTGCCAAGCAAGAATTTTTAGGGAAACTTAGAAAAAGTGACGACGAGATTTTGCGTATCGAACAAGTCACCAAATCACAGAACTGTGCTTTGTGGCGTCTTCATCGGAGGATAAGGTTGACAGCGTCTCGATTTGGTGAAGTTTGTAGAAGAAGGCAGACAACAAGCTGTAAAGTTCTAGTAAACTCCATCCTATACCCAAGAGAGTTTTCTAGTAAGGCAATACAAAAAGGCAATACAAAAATCATTGGACATGGCAGTTCAATCTTGTGGTCTGTTTATTGATCGCACACATCCATTTCTGGCAGCATCACCTCCATCTACCTATTACAGTAGACAAGACATGTACTTAATCCAGGTATAAACTTACCTGTTTATTGCTTTGCAAAAACTACCTAACTGTGTCCTGTTTATTTTGACGGCATAAGACATTTTTATCACCCTCGTTCAATTGTTACCATCTACCACACGACCCTTGTAAACATAGTTGTGTTTATTGACATAAATAATGGAATTTGAAACAGTCCACGGGGTGCCAGCGATCCACTTTTTCGATTTTATCCACTAGGATCTTTTTGAAATACCAAGAAGTTGAGCACAAATAGAGAGCATTTCAACCCACCATAATTCTTGCACAAAGACAAAATTTTGTAAAAAGCTCTGATAGCACCCTAGCCAATTATGGCCTGCTTATATCCAGAAAAACATCACAAACTGCAAAACACAAAAGGTAACAGCGAAATGGGTACATTTCACATGATGTGAAATTCAAATTAAAATGCAGGTATAAAATTTACCAAATGATCGTTCTCAAAAACATATTTCGTTGACATATCGATAATTTTAAAGTTCCACGCTAAATTCCCCTATACTAGATTGAAGTGATATCCGAATTTATTCTTCCCTACTGTCGGTAGTTGCAGATCTGTTGGCTGTTGGTGTCAAACCTATAGAGCAGGTATACTTTATCTGAAGTCACTTGAAACACTGTGAAATTCCGGGTGCGTTTTATATATATATATATATATATTTAACACGCTCTGTTGCTGCAAAAATCGCCAAATTTCGCAGCAAATATCCCCCGAATAAGATCAAAGGCAGTTTCACCGGTCCACGTGGAGTAAAGCACGCCTATGCGTGGACATAGCCAATGAGAAAGCGTGTATTTCAGAGCTCCGAACAAGTGCAGGTGGCTACTGAAAATTGAAACAGTTTAGCCAGTGCCGTGTAGCGGTGAATAAACGTGTTTTCTTTAGTCTGTCCGTGTTTTTTCATAGATTTTATTAGTTTGTGTGTTTTTGACTTTTCAATACTCAGTTTACTTGTTGATTTAATTGTTGTGTTGATTGTTCTTGTGTGTCCTAAATATGGCTCTTTGGAGACCTTGGGAAAATGCTCCAAGCCACGAGGAGATGGTTGATGAACCTGTGCAGGCAGAATTCTTTCATAAAGATTTAGAGGAACAGACCCAAAGAGTAATCCTAAATATGTATGATTGTCTGAAAAACGAAAATCCAGATTCCTCGCAAAATCAAATTTTAAACAGAATTTGTATCCTGACAAAAATCAGTCGGTCTACCATTTATCGGGTTATAAAAAGGGGAGATGTAGTCAACCATTCCTTCCACAGAAAGCGCATAGGGCAAAAATTAAAAAGAATAGACGTGGGTTTTCAGGAAGATATTCGTCGTATAATATACGGATTTTATAAAGAAAATTTGGTGCCCACGTTGGAAATGATACGGGATAAATTAAAAGATTATCCTGAAGATTTTTATAATTACAAATAATGCTTAGACTCACTGCACTGTATTGTAAAACTGTGTGGTTTTCAATACAAAAAATTAGATAAAAGAATGGTGATTATGGAGTCGTCTCGAATCGTTGAATTGCGCCAAGAATTTTTGCACAAAGTTAAAATCTATAGAGAGCAGAAAAGAAATCCGATTTACCTGGATGAAACGTGGTATGATACCCATGATGTTGTGCAGTACGGCTGGGTTGACGACAGCAACAAGTGCATTTTAAATGCACCATGCAACCGTGGAAAACGAATCATTATTCTCCATGCTGGCAGTGAAAATGGATTTATACCTAATGCCTTGCTGTTATCTGCCAAATATATCAAATAATCATGTGCCGACTATCATGAGGACATGACCTCCGACTTATTTGAAAAGTGGATAGAGCAGCAGTTAATACCAAACATTTCCCCAAATTCAGTGATTATTATGGACAATGCGCCATACCATTCCCGACAGAAAAACAAAATTCCGAATACAGGCACAAAAAAACAAGACATTATTGATTTTATGAAGGATAAGGGAATGGAAATACCACAAAAATCAACCAAAGCCATATTATTGGATCTTATTAAAAGACAAAAATTTGAAAAAGAGTATGTTGTTGACAATCTGCTTCAGCAAAATGGCCATGAAGTATTACGTCTACCTCCCTATTACTGCATTTTTAACCCGATTGAGTTGGTCTGGGCTGCTTTAAAAAAAAAGTAAGAAAACATAATCAGACCCCTCAATTAAGAGAATCGCTATTGACCACAATAAGAGATGCAGTATCTCATATTGCTGCCACAGACCTATGGAAGCAGTGTTCTAGGCATATTATTGAAAAAGAAAATGAATATTGTGTTTTGCCTCCTGTAAATCCCGTTGTAATTCCTCTACAAGATGACTCTAGCGACAGCTCCGAAGGCGAGGATGATATAGAAATACCCATAATGTAAGTCTTTATATACCTTTTTATATACCTACCTGCTATGTAAATATTTGCCTATGTCAAACGTTGGAATTCTGTAATTTTTCCATTTCTTAACTTTCAGTCAACATAAATTAAACTCCCAATATAAGTATTTTTTATCCCAAATCAAAAAAATAAGAAGATAATAAAATCCATTTATTGTGATATAAAAACATTATTATTATCGTTCTAAATAAATGACCGCACGCCTATGATACGTCATGAAATTACAAAGGACGCGCCGACCAAAGGTTTTTATGCTATTTCAAGTGACTTCAGATAAAGTATACCGATTTTTTGAAATCGTGAGCACATTATCCGTCGGATTTTCGATACTTAAATTTCCTGTAATCACTGCGATCAGAAGCTTCTTAGTAATAGAACGTGTTTCACTGATTTCAACCTCCGCTTTTTAAGCAGTACAATTTTTTTATGTCAATGATTAGGAACCCCTGAAACGTCAAAAACGGAGTTTCAGCAATTGTTACGTTTTCTTTTTTGCCTATAGCACCGTTGCCACTGGACTAAAACTACAAAGCTTTGGCATACTAGTAACCGCGTGTGGAAATTTTATAAAAATCCGAGCGGTAATTTCCAAGTTGATGATGAGTGATACAGTTTTTCGTGATGTAGATGTCATATGACTTAAAAAACATAACATCACATTTTAGAAATTTTCCGCGATTACAATACTTCCTCGCCAATGACGTGGGAAGTAAAACGGCTTTAAAATCGAGGAGTATCAGCGATCGCGATTATGAGTACCTATTTGCAGAACGACTTATCTACGCGATGTTATATGAAATAGGGCCACCAAGTGATATGAATACGTCCTTTCTTAGTCCGTACAGTAGACAAAATTCGTCCAAAATACGATTTGTAGAGGTTTGCGCGCTTCGAAATTGACGCTTTATTTT